TATTTTCTGTCTGCCTCTTTCTTCAGTAGTTCATTAATCAGCTGTTCAGGGTTTAGGATGTGGCTTAGAGGAGGAAAAATTGACAGAGATTTATGTGTATCTGCCTTACATGGATAAAATAAAATCTCATCCAAAAATTACATTCTTCACTGAATCACTAAGGTTTTTTTTCTCACGTCCTACCAATCCTAGCAGTGAGGGTGTCCAGACCACTGGGTGTATTTCTCAGAGATAATGCTTCACAACTTCCCTGCTTCCAGCTGATGCACACATTGCTTTTGCAGCCAAGAGGATGCTTTTGCAAATTAAAGATGTACGGTGCTTAACACAATCTGATTCAAACAAATGGTAACCTATTAAGTCAGCTTCTGAAACTGAAGTGTGTGTATCTTTGGTTAAGAACCTGCTGCTTAATAAATGATTCTTGAAGTGTTTTCCAGACATAGGCTACATTTTACTTGGGAAAAATCTCTTTTCAGACAGTTGATTCCTACATTGCTGAAGTTCTTACTCTGCAATAACTTTTGCTTCTTCCAGATTTTTATCTTGACCTAGTATACACAGGCCTTATTATATTAAAATAGCATTATGATGCTGTAGCACATCAAAAAAATGTTTGGTGCTACACGTCTGGACAACAGCATGAATTTCTCATCATCTTACGGGCCTGACAAGGTTAAAATCTACAGCTTTATTATTTCAAGTGACTTGCTGCATGTTAGAAATGGAATTAGAGCCAAGATTAGCTACTCAGTTTATTTTTGGTAATTTTTCTAATACATAAATGTGATTTGCATTTGAAATTTGGAGCTAAAGTGGGGAGTTGTTTTGGTTTTTTTTTTCCCCTAACACGGCCAGTGCCATGTTAGGTGCAAGACTAATACAAATGTTTTCATGGTTATTGGCTGGATTTTTTGAGTGTGTTTTTAAGGGTATTCCCTTACTGCTTTTGCAGTAGCAGTAACAGTGTAATGCTGACGATGAAACTTCACTTTCCTGATGTTCCCCCCTTTCATTTTTTTCTATGTACCTTTAGAAAGGAATTTTCTTCAAGATAATTGTGAAGTAGTCTAAAAATCTTGAAATCATGAGTTAATGGGGCAATTAGAGTTAGGATATCCCAACCTACTTTGAAAAGAAAATTGAATGCTTCAGACTTTGAATTTTATGCAAGCTGATAGTGGGAGTATAGGCTTTAGTTCTGCAAATCGCTTCATTAGAGTGGAAAACTCGTAGGTTGGAATTAACTGTTAGTATATCTTCCCAGCATTATCATACCATGTTCTCTTTTCTTCACAGTGCTACAAGTCTGTGATAAGCAGAACAGTGAGTTCTTAAAGGTTTAATCCTGGAACAGAGAGCTGGATAATCCAAGTTTTCAGCTGGATCAGACCAAAACAAGCATTGAGCTTCTCTGCCTCTGACATGTGCTTTGCTCCTAGAACTGCATTTCCTTGTGTATGGAGGCAGTTGTGTAACATTTGCAGGGCTGTTATGTTTTTAACCAATTCTGTTACAAGCGATAGGCTATGCTGTAAAGAGTTAATCAAAATGAAGGAGATACTGTCCTCTAATTCAGTATCTCTTTGAGATCTATTCAGCAGCATATGCTGCTATTTTTACAAAATGAATCTGTTGCTAGTCTACAGAACACATGTTTTGGAGTGAAGCATGAGAACTGCTAAGCATTATGAAAGTAACTAAGCTTATTAGTGGCAAGGGAGGGCTTTGCTGTATTAACTGTGATGTTGTACTATCTCTGTCTAATTAGCTTTTCTACTAATTAGATTTAGAGCAATTAAAAGCTTTAAAGACTTCTGAGAAGTTTTTTGAAAGGACTGTAAATTTCAGGTACATGACTTTCTCTTTTGGAAGGAGCATCTTGGTGCATGCTCGCTCGTGTCCGTGGCTGACTTAGATAAGTTTCCAATTAATTATTGAAGGCTGTACGTACTCTATCACTGTTATTGCTGTCCTAGTACTATATGTGTAACTTCTCTAAAGATCTGGGTGTTCTGCAAAGACTGGCAGCCATTTGGTGTTCAGTTCAGCAGAGCCAGAAACAGAAGACGTGCACACGTAGTGCTCTCATGCGGAGAGACTATATTATTCTTGGTTTAAAATAAACCATTCTGATTGAAAGCATCTGCTTTTTCTTTTGCATAACAAAAATGTTTTCCAAAATTAAAGTCTTCTAAAGTGTAAGTCTTTGCAGTCTCCTGCAGAGATTTTTACTTTTTTTTAAATCCAAAGCCAAGCAGTTTAATTTACAAAAACGTGTTGTGCTTAGAAACTATTGGGATGATATCTTACTTGTGATCTTTCAGATTCACGGAGAACCTTTAGCAAATGGTACTGCTGCTCTTATTTTCCTTAAAGAGCTGTAAAATTCTAATTTTGGATTTCTGTCCTATCTTGAGTATAGATTAAAGGTTAAAGCTCAAAATATACAAGGAATTGGTTAAGTCAGACTAGTTTTAAACCTACTGACTGTAGTATCTGTTTAGCAGCTTGGTCATTCTGAAGTTTTAGTGCTATGAGAGTTGAGTGGAGTATCTTTCTGAATGAAGATCCCACCTTTGGGTTTGAATGCTCAGTAACAGACCTATAGTTTCTAGTAAGAGATCAAATTCTTCTCATGCTTTTTTTGAAAAGGGTAGGGGCTCCACTTCTGGTGAGAACATCATTGGCTTTGTTAGATACTGAGCCAGAATTATGTGGTTTTGTCAATTTATGTGCCTGCCATGCTAGGGAGATCAGAAAGCAGGATCTTTAACAAATGTCATTACTTTAGCAGTATGCCTGGAGGGTCCCATTTAGGTAGAGAACACATGGACAGAACATCTCAGTCATCAGCAAGCTGCTGAGAGCATCTTTTTCTTTTGTACTTCGCACTGATGTTCACTCGGTCTCTGGAGCATCAAAAACCTGTGTGTGGATGACTTCCCAGCCTGGAGGAGTCCTGCAGCATGTTTAGGGATTCCAGGGCTCTTGCCTAGAGCTTACAGAGCTGTGGGCTCTTCAGCTGAGCCTAAGCCAATGACTCCGCAGCTTTACTCTGGGATTGCTATTGATTTACAGTGAGCTTTTAGGTAAGGTACCCAGATGTATGCTGTAGGCAAAATTTGTGTGCGATGATGGGAGAAGAGTGAAAAGCTGTCATGGGAGCTGTTATAGCATAGATTGATCAGATGCTTTAAATATAATATAATATGTCTTTGTGTATTAGCAGCACTTCTATTTCTTAGGCACTTAATTTTATTTTCCTACTGAAACATTCAAATGAGGGATCTGATGTGTGGTTTGGACCAGAGTTTTTCTTGACAACTTAAGTTTGTCATAGATAATTTTTTTTCTCACACACATGTAATTACATGTTAAATGCTTGTCACTGTTGAAGGATGCAGCTTCCTCCTAGTAGCTGCTGTTAAAATTATTTGGCTGGGCTGGTGCTCTGTCTCCCAGGTACCAGCTTTCAGTGACTTTTACTTTTGGACCTTCCTGTGAAGGGTTTGGTGAGTTAAAGGGTAATGCTCTTGGCACAATTCCTACTTGTGTGTGTAACACTTCACAAAGTTGGTTTAGCAGCATGATGAAGAGAAATAAATACTCTACTTCTTCCCTTTGCCATCTGTAGAGCGGGGAAAGCTGAGGGGCAGTTGAGAGGGCAGAAGTTGCTGAAGGTTGTCCTGCAGGCCAGTATTAGAGTAGCATCTGGACCTCCTCGGTCTAGGGCTAACCAGCTGGTAGGTTATTTAACTCCTAAAGCATTGGAGGGTTATTTACTTTGATTTTTGTTCATTATGGAAATTGGAGTATTTTAGAAACAAGCACTCAAGCTGCTGGAAAAAAACCCACTATTATGCTAACCATCAAGTGTTCTGTTTTGCCTCAATTTTCTGAAAGGGCCCATTATTAAGATAGGTATTTCTAAGTGAATGTGAATCAGAATAGAATAGTTAAACGTGCTGGGTACTGACCCTCTCAGCTTTGAAGTAAGCTTAATAGAAGAAATCCATAATGAATGTATTCCAGGAATAATTCCTTGGCATTGCAGAATCAAATTTGAGACTTTTGGTTAGAGAGAAGTACTTGATGTCTGCATTGTTGCACAGTATTTTGTCTGCAAGCTTGATTTGCTCAGCAAACCAACTGGGGGAAAAAAAGAAGGCTTCACTTGACTTCTGTGGCTCTTCTGTCTCCACCTTCTGGAAGCTGATAGCAAATAATTTAAAATCAGCTTACGGAGTTAATTAACTGGAAAGCAAATGTGTTGCAAGATGTGTGTTTTGACCCTAGTTAAAGGATGTCATCATGATTTTATTTTAGTTATTCCAAAACACTGAGTCTAGGGAGCAAATAATTGGGATGAAAATTCTCTTTAAGCCAAAATTGTCTTTTTTATCGTCTCTGCAGAATGTCAGGCTGAAGTCAGCCAGAAGGTTAGCTTGTTTAACTGTACTGTGGGGATACTGTTGTAACAGAATCGAGTAAAACTGTAATGTTCCAGATGACCTCTTCCAACCACTGCCATCAGAGTGTTCTTGGCATAGTTTTCAGAGGTGAAGAGATACACTTGAGAATTTCTGAGAGGACAGTCTGGTCCAGCACAGGTAGTGTGCTGAAGGCTGTGCTTTCAAAGAAAATAAACTGTGCTTTGTATCAGACCTGCAGGTGAGAAAATGTAGAAGGGAAGGAGAGACAGCCAGAGGGCAATGTTTCCAAAAAGTATGCTCAGGATTTGGTCTCCCTCTCACTTGTTGGTTGGGTGGTATTTTCTTTGTGCTGTTCAGTACCTTGGGCTGTTCTCTGGCTGGGAGTGTTGTAATGTCGATCAAATGATCACCTTGGTTCGTCAGAATAATAAGTCAGTTGGCTTCAGGCAGAGCCATGAGCTGTGGGTGAGAGCTTTGTAGCCTGTTGTCACATGGTGGTTTTTCAGAATAGCCTTTAGCTGGGAATTTAAGCCTTCTTCCCTGGCCACTCTTGTCCCTTTCCAGGTTGCAGCTGCTCCCTGGTGGTTGCCTGTGAAGGGAGCCAACTGGAAGCACCCTGAGGGTCATGACTCTAGTATCTCCAACAGGTAAGCCATAAGTGGCCATTCAATTGGAATACACGGCGCTTGTAAATGTACCTGTAAACTTGCACCAGGTATGGGGGTACAAGAAAGGTTTGTTGGTTTTTTTTTAATGAGTTACCTGTTTGCTGCTGCTTCTGCGACTATTTTCCCATCTTCTTAGTGTGTTGCATGCAATATTCAGTGGTTGTATGGTCAATGACGTAGTAGTATTTCAAAAAGTTCTATAAGCACTTTCTACCTGAGGGAAAAGAGACCATAGTGAAATGTGCTTCCCTGTGTTTTCTATTCACATTTGTATATCAGTAGTGAAACAAAGTAGATCTTTAGAGCATTCAATGCAGATCTGGTTCCAGAGAGGAAGACTAAATACTAGCTGCACGTGTACTCTAGGAGTCCGTGTAGCGTGTTGTCCATCTGGGATTTGGAAGCCTATCTCTCTGGCAGCGGAAGACTGAAGAGTTTTGTGCTTTTTATTGTATTCTGACTTTGTGGGCTGATTATTGTGGAAAATCAGTTGTGGATTTATCTAGAAGCTCTAAATGCTTTGGAAACCTAGTTTTTCTTAACAGCCTATAGTTGGTGCCATGCTTTGCTAGTTTGAACCCTGAAACTTGCTGATCCATGTCTTTATGCAGTCTCTTTCCATTCAGAAGTGGAATGAATTTTATGCCTAGAAAATCAAAAGGCTTCATTATTCTCAGGTGCTTTTTATGGATACTGCAGAACTAGCCCTGGGTTGCGCATGTTGAAAGCCATTGTTCAGTTATGTATATTATTGTATGCTTACTTGGATGTGACTCTTCCTTTGGGACCTCTTATATTGCAACTCTTTTTTTCTCACTAAGCAGGTATCAATGCAGCTGGCACTAGCTGCCTTAAGCAACTAGTTGAAGTTTCAAAACTGCTGTTTGAAATAAAGTCAGACTCTTTAGCCTAGATCTAGTAGATTCGGGCATGTTTTTGTGTCCTCCAAGGAGAGGGCTGTGTTAGTGTAACATCACCTGATGGCTGAACTGCTTAGTAACAAGTCTGTTGTCTGTTCTCCAAGGGCAATGAAAGAATTATCTGAGGCAAAAATAGAGATCATATCGGGAGGCGTTGTTAGGGGGAGATGGAGGAATTTAGGTCACAGTCAGCAGATAAGAGTTGGAAATGTGCCATGTAAATCTAGTCTTGCAAAGTATGGTGCAAACCTAGCCTAGTAAAACTGCTGGTGAACTTGCCACATGGAAGTAGCCTAATGGACCAAGAGGCATATGCTGGCTTGTTAAATGAGGCAGGAAAGATGAATTAATAGGAAATCCTCTGTATCTGTCTTCTGGACCAGTACCCTCAGCTCTTGAAGTATCTTGGTCTATTAGAGGCTTGGATGGGGAGGATCCTTGTGACAAGAATGACTAGGCATTTTTTCTGTCTTTTTCTGGAAAAAGACAAGGATTTAAGGGCAATCCTGAAAATAAACCAAAGGAAAGATGGGAGATTTCATGTAAACTGTGGACTGCTTGAAACACACAAAGAAAAATACTTTTTTGTTAAATTTCTGCAGTTCACTGTTTCCTGGATTGGGTGCTGCAAAAGATGATGTTGCTAAGAGTAAGGACTCTTTCTCATCCAACCTCTCCCTCAAAAACCCTACAACTGACAGCAAAGAACCTGCAGCAAAGAGAAGAGTGCCCAGGGAAGTGAAGAGCATTTGCCATTAAACTGCAAAGTAAATTTTCCTGTTGAGAATCTGGACTTCTTGTTAAGATACTGTCAGACTAGCGTAGCAAGGAGTAGTAATGCTGCAGGCTTTTGGTGTCTTCCTTTGGGTCTCTGAGCACCTACGTTTCCACAGGAGCCAGCGTGTCAATAGTTCCTCACTGGCTCCTGGGTGCAGCAGGTTTCTGAGGTGAGACTGTGAGAAAGCACAAGCCACAAATGTCTTTTTTAACTGTAGAGGGCTGTACGTAAAAGCATGATGAGACAAGCAGAAGTTAATTTTTTTTCTCTTCCTTGTTTTTCTCTGATGGACACATTTCCTTTCCAGCATCTTGCTGTCTTTCTTTAAGTAGCTTGTTTTCTGTAAAAGTAATCTGACAGCTTGTCCGGTTGTAACTGAACTGTGAAACTTCCTCACAGTCCTTTGTGGCCATCTCTAAAAGAGTTTCATAAAGTGCTTGTGCTGTATAGCTGTGAGATTGCCTAGTTCTGCTGATGATCTTGTCCTGTTTATTTTGTTCCCCAGAATGGATCATCCAGTTCTTCATGTTTCCTGGAATGATGCGGTGGCATTCTGCACCTGGGCAGGGAAACGGTTACCAACTGAGGCTGAATGGGAATACAGCTGTCGAGGGGGTCTTGAAAATAGGTACTTGTCACAAATATGTCCCTGATAAATGTTTAACACTGGTATTTACTAGATAAGGAAGAGATGTGTGGGTTTTTATTACCCTCAATGTCTTTTTCTTGTGTAGTATGCACATCTGTGGTAAATATAGCACTGACTTACTCTGACCAGATTCCTTTAGGCAAGTGAGTTTCCCTGAATGGTGTATTGTAATCTGAACTCTATAATGGGAAGAGAATGCAAAGAGCCCAAGAGCAGCCGGTGTGACAAAATGCCAAGGCACAGGACTGCTGCTATTGCAGGAGATGAAAGGTGTAGCGGAGGAGCTTAGTGCCAAGGCCAAAAGAGTTGCAGAAGACCTTAAGGAGTAAATAACTACATCGCTGCACAGCAACTGTAGGGCCACTGGATCCACCTGTTACCTGACTGTGGGCTTGTGGAGGAGGAGAAGACAAGGTGGATAACAGGTTAATGTCTTCTCCATCCTGTGTCCTGGACTACATACTGCACAGGGCAGTGCTGCCTTTCCTTCCTTCATGTACGAATTGTCCTCGTAGAACCCTTGCTCTCTTTGAAAACCTGCTAGATGTTGGTACAAATGGAACTGGAATACAAACAGTTCTCCAGGGTAAGGTGGGGAGGAAGGGGGGGTGGTTTGGTTTGTTTGTTTTTTTTTTTTTTTTTTTTTTTTTAAGTGTTTGCAACTGTTCTTCTGTATGTCTTTTAATAGACTTTTCCCATGGGGCAACAAGCTTCAGCCGAAAGGTCAACATTATGCCAATATCTGGCAAGGAGTGTTCCCAACTAATAACACAGCAGAAGATGGATACAAAGGAACTGCACCTGTAAGTATGTGTCTAAGTGAATTAATCATACGGAAATGAACTTAGTCTTCCTAAAACTGAGGTCTGTGTTCAACACAATGAGCCATGGCTGTTTTCCATTCCTGTATTCTTTCACCTTTAGATTTCTAAAGTTACAGTATATTTCACTGCAGGCTTGAGTATTACCAAGGGACACTTTTTAAAAGCTAATTGAAAAGTAAAGATTATTTTCATTTTAACTTTCAGTTCCTCTTAGACTGACCTCTTTTCCCCCTTTCCAGTCAGCTTACAGTTCAGAAGCTGGAATACTTTCTGCTTGCACTTTTGGCATTACAATTTTTTGAACTCTCATTTTTTTGGTTAGTTGTTCCTGAGGCACAAAAATCATGCAATAGTTTAAAAGAAATGAAACTTCCCTTTTTGGAAAGGTTGAGTCTGTATAGTATAGCAAACAATGGAGTAGAATTTTAAAGGCAATCAACAATGTGAATGAATTATTAAATGGTAGTTAAAGTAAGTCCAAAAAGTTTAATTGGTAGAGAAGTCTTGCATATGTATGAGTTGACAGCCACTCTTGCTTTCCTTTGATGGAAAGGGAAATCTGGAAGTTGTAAGTATGGGCATGGAGGTCAGATCACTAATGCTACATTCGGGTCTGTGTCTGTTGGTCAAACAGTGCCTCTCTTTAGAGGATCAATCTCCAAAACCAATGAGAAGATATGTGCCCTAATGGAAATGTGATGCTGAGAACATTGAGGATGATAATAGTTCCTTCTTTCATTCTATTGTATTTAAATGGAGTATGTAGAAGTGTTATAGTTCTGCACTACTAATTTGGTGTCTGCTTTTGAGATATGAAGGCAGAAGCTCCTAGTAAAGACACATGTACCTTCAGCAGACTGGCCTTCAGGATTAAAAACCTTATTTCATGTTGAGTGGTTTACAGAACCAGCACTGGTGTTCATTATCTTGTATAGGTCACTGCGTTTCCTCCCAATGGATATGGCTTGTACAACATTGTAGGAAATGCCTGGGAATGGACGTCGGACTGGTGGGCTGTTCATCATTCAACGGATGAAGTTCACAACCCTGTAAGTATTTTATTGGCATCACATGAAGTATAGAATTCCCTCTTGCTACTCTGGTCTGGTTGCTGTTTGAAAACCTACTGTTCTTTGCTTCTCTCTACTGTGTCTCGGGTGGGGGACATTCTGTGTTGCGGTGAATTAGGAACTATCACGCCACAGGTAATCAACACTGAAATTGTAGTGCTGTAGTGGAGTTTTATTGATTTATTTTTTGTTGGACAGGCCTCCACAACTGGTTAGCAGTTGAATACTTCCAAACTGGCATCATATTACGTAAATCAAGAATTTGCCAATGCAGTGGAATTACTTTAAAAAAAAAAAGGAGGATTTTTTTTGTTTATGTTGCTACAATCTGTACTACTCGCCCCACCACCATTAGAGAACAAACCGTTGTGAGTTATCTTCATGGCTTCTACTAGCTCATTTAGAATTCAGTGTGTACTAAAGCTGATGTTTATGGGGAGAAGTAGCTTACCAGGCTTTGAGAGGTTAATATTTGGTTTTCTTTGTGGCAGGCAGAGAAAGAGGTCCTGCAGGGTAAGCTTCGTATGTGGGGTTTCTCATGCAGTATCTCTCAGCAGATTCAAGTTCTAGTATTACATATCTTTCATTTATCCAGGATGACTAAATCTGAGAAATGCTCTGTTCTCACAGAGCTTGTTTTGTTCAGACACAGTTATCTGTAATGAGAAAACGAATTAAACCTCATAGGGCAGGAGCTATCTCTTTGCTGCAGGATTTGAGTATCCCCATGCTGTGGTCTCTTATGGTACGTGTAGTCTTTCTTTGGTATGCCAGGCATAATTGGAGGCCTTTCTGGGAAGTCAGCAATTGGGAGCTTGAGGAACTTGCTAAATTTTTTTTGCTGTTCTGTACATTGCAGAGGTTGACATTCTGCTGTTCTTCCAGGAGGATGTGTCTGGCAAGAGAAATCAGACTCATCTTGGGGTCTAGATTGCTCTAGATCTGTACTAGTGGTTCCATCACACTGATGGAGCATCTAGAGACCTCCTAACCCATACCAATCATGTTGGCCAATTTCAAGTTACTTGTATCCCAGTAAAATATACCACAGGTCTCTCCAGTGGCTTCAGCTATGTGTTGGACAGTGTGCTACATATATCTTCCCAAGTAACTGAAATGCTTGGGACTGTAGCTTTTTTTTCACTGTTTTATTTAAAATAGGATGGACTATCCTCTAATTTTTTTGGTAGGCAGTCTTAGTGGTCTACCAACGGCTAAAGAACCTACTTTTCCTTTGGGACCTTGGCTGTGTTGTATCTCCATCTACTACTTTTCTCACATACTGCACAAATAATACATATGATGTGATTTGAATATTTCACAGTAGTCAAAGTTTTCTGCCAGGTTCTGTAATCCAGCAATAATGGAAAGCTGTATTGCATCAATTGTCTCTTGAATGTGTAAACACACCTGTCTTTTTCTAACATTGACTCATGGCTTGCATACACATACAGCTAAAATTTATGTAGAACTTACACTTAGCATTCAAGCTGATACTTTAGATTATTTTTTTTTCCCCTGTTTGCATACTGATTGATTAGGAAAGAAACATCTGCTGTCTTGCAATTCTGTTTCCATTCTGGTGGGTCTTTTTTATATGCAATTAAGGATAATTTTTTTCCTGTACCTTTTGAATGGGGAAGCAAGGCCAGTTTACGAGCAACATTTCTAAAGATGAAGTCGTGAGTAGCTAGCAGAATGTAAATTTAGGTGAAAGTGAAGAACAATAAACCTAGCAAACTTTCCCGTATCAGAGTTGAGTATTGATTTGATTGCAGCCTCGTAAGTCAGAGTAGGAGGAGGAGAACGAGCAAGGCTGAGCTTTCCATTCCCGACTGTGTGGTCACCCTGGTTTGTACCGGGAAAACCCTACTTTACCCCTCTCACTACTGAAGCTTCAGTGCCTGGAACAAAAGCATAATGATCTGCATGTGCTGCCTTAATTGGAGTGCAGGGGAAGGACCCCTTGCAGAGACAAACAGCATCTGTGTCCCTGGGGAAGAACACAAGTCTGGCAGTTGGTAGCATATTGCAACAGTCCCTCTTCTTTCATCTGGTTCTCGGGCTGACAGCTACTTCAGTTTTGGCTGCTTGTTCCTGCAGTGACCTCTCGGGGTGGGGAAAAGTGCCCGGCTCTCTAGCAGTCGTCTTCCTTAGCAAGAAGGAGCAACGCTGGGAAGCAAAAATAGAGTAACTAGGCTGAGTCTGGAGAACACAAACACTTCTGATGCTGTGTGTATATAGAACTTAAAAGTCACAGATCTCAGGTCTATTTCACCTAGATATGTTCTACAGTTTTTTGTTTGTTTTTGTCTGTAGTTTAGTAATGTGCATTATTTGTTTAAACTGTTAAAGGCTCTGTGTCATCACTGGCAAAGTCTTAGAGCTTTTTTTTCCACGTAAGATGACTGGCTTTTATAGGCTCAAGGCATGAAACAACTAATTTATGTGGAAGTTACTGTGGTAATAATAGAAAGAAACTCCAGGAGTCTTCATCCAAACTGTAGCTTTCAGCTAATCCATTCCCTGCCATTGGTGCTAGTTAACTTCATCTTATTTTATTTTATAAAGAAAAATAGTTTTCTCTGCCCGTGTCGGCCTTCCCAACTTGTCCAAGTTGCACAAAATCCAGCTAGCTAGAATTGTGTATTTTGCTGAACTATAGCTACTGTGGTATGATGGTTGGAAAAAATAAATAAATCTGTCATCTTAAGTATTGCAGTGGTGCACCTCCATTAGAATGACTTCTTAAATGATACGCTTTTGTGTTAATAATGTCAATGCAGCAGTGCTTCGGTGTTGAATTAAGGTGACGGTGAGAAACAAGTGTCCTGTGACTTCTGCTCTCTGTTAAGTGGCTATGAGTTTGTTAAGGTTTTTAAATTCAGCACAAACATTTTGCAGACACTTCAGAAAGTTTTTAAAAATTAGGTGTTAACAGTGATGCTTTTAGGTTTTTTCAGTTGGAAACTAATTGTCAGAATGTAGTGTCTGAGGCAGAGCACTTCAAAGTGAATTCCAAAGGGTTTTTCTGATTAAATGGATAAGGAAACCGTATCTCATAATGTGAAAAGGTGTCCCAAAATAGCCAGGCTGCAGTATGTTCTGAGACATTAAAAATGATTAGCACCATATCTATCAGAGCCAATCTCTTAAGTCTCTCCAGAGTACAAGTCAGCATAACCTATATATAGGATGTGTTCTTTCTGCCTAAAAGAGTAGGAATTCTTCTAGAGGGTCAGAGCTTAGTGAAAGTTTTTTAACATATTTAGTTTAACATCTGAAATCTTCAAAGCAGTTTTCTAGTACTGGAGAGATTTTGGGTATACTGTGGATTGGTTACAAGGAATGTATGGAGTTTTGCACACAGGTGGTTGTTAGGGTTTTTTTTTCTGTAATCGATTGGCTTGCACTGACAAATAATTACCAAGAGCAAAAATAAACTGGGACACCTGAAAGTGCTTTGTAAGTTGTTTACCACTTTTTAAGGTGTTAGATTTAATTTATGCTCTAACAATGGAACAAACAATGTTTTTCCTCTTCTTCGCCAGGTGTAGGACCTGTGCAGTTAAGTATTGAAGGCAAATAAAAAAACTTGAAATATTTTTATGCAGCTCAAGAAGAATATAGAATGCAGAGCTTGGTACTGTGTCCTTGAAATTATAAGCTGTGGAGTGCCAGGAACACTGGACGTTATTGGCAATAGTGGGGTTTTGGGGATGCAGCCAGAACTTCCAAAGTTAGTGGCATTGAAAGGCATCATAATACGTTATGGATGTAACTTTTAAGAGCAGAGCATTAGTATAACATTAGTATAACTCTTTAACTATTCCAGTCCAGACACTTATTTGTATGGTAGTAACAGCTTGTTCAAAGCATAAGGAGCAAGTGGCTTTTATTTTGAATTCTACTTCTCATCAGCTTGTGCAGCCAGCTGCAAATGTTTCTGCTCATTTTTGACTTAAGCAAATGAAAGTCCCCCCATTTTATGAGCATACAGGATCAGTGGAGATTGGTGTACTGTACTTAGACTAGCTGTGAAAGCAAATAAACAGTATTATATTTGGAGGGGTTTTAAGTAACAAATTGTATATATTGAATAACCTCATTTGTCATCTGGAACACAGTGAATGGTCTCTCGATTTTGTGTGAGATACAAAACACATGATTCGTGTGTTACTCTTGCAGAAAAAAAATAGGAAGCATCCAAGCTGGTAACATTCACTTAGTGCAGCAGGATAGTCCAGGGGAAATCCCGTGTATCAGGAATCCAGAACAAACCAGGATAAGCCAAATCTAAAATAGCTGTCTGTGGAAAACTTCTACATGTGGAAATGGAAAAAAAACCCTCTAAATTTTCTGAATTTCAAGTGGAATAGTGTGTCTCAATTGTGACCTGTTCTTCCAACTTCCCCTCACCTCTCAGCGTAGTTCTTGTCTCTGTTGTGTGTTCAGTAGCCACTAAAAGCCTTTCTAAGCAGAATTTTGTCATGCATTTAGATCTAGGGTGCCAGGCTGCATCTACCACGGCTGTTCTCCAGTACACGTTGTGCATTCTGGGGCTCCTTTCTTAAGGGATTCTTCACTTGAGTGACTGCCAGGAGATCACGGAGCTAGCTGTCCTGCTGCTGTTCTCTGAAATTATGTTGCTTGCACTTGAAGACATCTTGGAGTTGCACAGAATGGGGCCACGTAGCAGTACAAAGACAGTCTCACAGCATGTCTTAATCACGTAGGCAAAGTGGTATTTATGTGGTCAAACTGAGTTTGGGGGGGAATTATAAAATCCACTTGAGAAAATGTAAAGCTGGTACTTCAACTCCTCCAGTATTGGCAGTGGGTGAAAAGCCAGAACACTGCTGTTGTCAGAAGTAAGTGCTTCTGGGCTGATGTTTCTCACGAGTGGGAAATAAATCCAGAGTTTAAGACAAACTCATAAGAAATATTTCTTCAGTACATATAGCAGCTACTATTTGGTG